CTGTCTCAGCTGGCCTGGTTTGCGTTTCTTCTCTGTCCATCTGCCTGTCTACTCCAGGATGACTTTGGCAGGAGCTGCTGTGGAGGTGGGACGGTGCAGTTGGGAACAAAGGCCTGGACAGACACCGAAGGGCCTCTGGTTTCCTTCTTGACACAGAGCAGCAGCTGAGAGCAAGGTTCGGAGAAGTATCTCTTCTGCCATTTTTAAAGGATGTTGATAAAATACGGCCTGCGGTTGGTGAGCCCAGAGGTAACTGCAAAGGTCTCAGTGATCTATTCGGAGTTTACTACACCCCAGAGAACCTCCCAGCTTCACGGGTTGGGCAAGGAGCAGACATGATCACGGACAACTGTCGTGACAAGTGTGGTGGCATGCCCAAATCACTGGCCCTTCAGGGTTCCTCTGTTCCCATCCTCTGCACTCCCATTTGACAGCTGGGGCAACTGAGGCCCAGAGAAGGGAAGAGATTTACCCAAGGCCACCCGGCACAGGCAGGCAGCCCTCCTGATTCAGAATCCAGTCTGAGATCCTGTGGCTCAGCTTTCTTTCTTGCCACTGCTCATTATTATTTTCTAAACAGCTTTATTGACATATAATTCACATCCCTTGCAATTCACTCTTCTGAAGTGTACACTTCAATGGCTCTTAGCACAGAGTTGTGCATCTATTACCACAATCAATTTTAGAACAGGCTGCAACTACAACAAAAGAAAAAAAGAGAAGAAAAAGAAAAAGAAAGAAAGAACAGGCAGGGGACTGTGGCTCATGCCTGTAATCCTAGCGCTTTCGGAGGCTGAGGCAGGAAGATTGCTTGAGGCCAGGAGTTCTAGACCAGTGAGACTTCAACTCTACAAAAAATTTAAAAATTAGCTGGTCATAGTGGCATGCACCTGTAGTCCCAACTACCCGGGAGGCTGAGTGTGGAGCATCTCTTGAGCCCAGGAGTTCAAGGCTGCCGTGAGCTACGATCACACTACTGCACTCCAGCCTGGGCAACAGTGAGACCCCAGGCTGGAGTAAGACTCCGTCTCTTAAAAAAAAATGTAGAACATGTTCATTACCCCAAAAAGAAACCCTATACTCTTCAGTGGTCAACTCCCCCATCCCTTCATCCCCTTAGCCTAGACAACCACCAATCTACTTCCTGTGTCTATACATTCGCCTATTCTAAACGTGGCGTACAACACGTGGTCTTTTGTTTCTGGCTTCTTTCACTTAGTATAATATTTTCCAGTTTCATCCATGTTGTACTGGGTATCAGTACATCTTCCTTTTATTGCTGAATAATACTCCATTGTGTGGTTACAATGCATTTTATTTATCCACTGACTAATTCATGGACATTTGGGTTATTTTTGCTTTTTGATTACTATGCATACTGCTGCTATAAACATGTGTATACATTTTTGTGTGTGTGCGTGGATATGTGTTCTCATTTCTCTTGGGTATACGCCTATAAGTGAAATTGCTGGATCATATGGTCTCTATGGGCCCCACCTTGTAACTCTGTCTCAGACCTTGGGGATAAGGGGTTCTTGCTACTTCTAGTGTCTAAGGTCTGGGGATCAAGTGTTCCCCTTCAGTTTTCAGGCCCTTCTGTGGGCTGCTGTGATATTATTATATATATATATATATATAAATACACATTTTTGTTCATGGTTCCTGGCTCACAACTCCCACAGCCCTTGTTACAGTCTTTTGTAATGACATTGGGGCGCTTTAGGCCTCAGGAAACAGAATCTCCCTGTCTAACCTCCTTCTGCACTCCTCTCACTTGCCCAGGGCAGGACTCTGATTGTGGGTCATGAGACCCTCATTCCAGACAGGGTCCTGCCCCATACCCGGGAGGAAGGAATGCTGCACAGAGAGGCCACGAAGAATCTGAACAGACAGGCTTTGCTGGGTTAGATCATACCCTTTTGGTCCAATCTTACTTTGACCCCATCTCCAGGTAGACAGTGTCAGAATTGAATTAGAAAACGCCCAGCTGGTGTCCACTGCAGAACCGATGGCTTGTTTGTTGGTGGGGAGAAATCCCCCATGTTTGGTCACAGAAGGCTTCTCTCTGTGTTGGTGTCAGATCAGAGGAAAAATGTGGTTTGAGTTTTTTCCCCGAACAGGTGCATGGAAGAGTCACTTGGATTCCAACTCCTGCTCTGCCGTCAACTTGCTAGGTGACTTTGAGTGAGCGGTTTTACGTCTCCAAGCCTTAGTTTTGCCATCTGGGAAATGGGATGATGGTCCCTGTCGCCTGATCTGAGGACTAGCTGGGATCATAATAACAGCTTTCCATTCGTTCATTCAGCGTATTCACCGATGGCCTACCAGGTGCCCACACTGTTCACAGCAGATGAAACAAAGTCACTGCCCTTACAGTCTTCTTTTCCACCTCGGCAGCATCTTGTTTCAGGCTCACACTACCCCTAGGAGGTACAGCCCACTGCTATCCCCGACTCCCAGAAAAAAAAAAAAAAATGGAGTAGTCTTCGGAGTCGAGTTGCCCGAAGCACCTGTCCTCAAGCCTGTCCCCCAAAACACCCCGTGCTCCCTGTGAGGGCAGTGCCTGGTGCAGAGGGGGATGCAAAATACAGATTCCCTTTCCTCCAGCCCACTTTGGACTTTGTTTTCAAATTTTCGAGTACTGTATTTTTTTAACTTTTATCGAGATATACCGTACATACAAACAGAGCGCCATGATATGAAACAGCTGGCACATTTCACAAGCTGACGTGCTTGTTTACCCAGCACTCAGAGGAAGAAGATCAAAACCACCCCAGGCCCCCGAAGTCCCCTCGTGCTGCCTCTGGTTTCTCTCCCACCAGGGGAGACGTGAGCCCGGCTTCTAATGCTGGATCAGTTCCGTCTGTCAGTGAGCCTCATACGAAGGGAATGACGCGGTCCTTTGTGTCGGCCTGTCTCGCTCAGCATTCGCTCTGTGAGGTTGATGGTGGTGCTGTGTGTGTCACGACAGAGCCCGTGTTCACCATCATTCCTTCACCGCTTCTGCTTCCGATGGGGCCCTTGAGGCTTTCCCTCTTGAAAGAGAGACACAGGGCCTCACGGACTCGCGGGTGTGTGTCTCTGTGCCACTGCCCAGCTAAGTGGGTTGCGGGGAGGGAGTATGTTCTGACCCAGTTCCAGCCTCAAGGTAAACGTGCTTCTAGGAGGCCCTGGCTTGGCCCTCCACCCTCCACCCCTCCTTCTTGGACTCCGTCAATGTTCTGTTATTCTGGGCTTGGCTTGAGGCTGAGGGGTGAACTGGCAGGCATCCTAGGTAAACAAGAGCAGCTGGGGAGGAGAACGGCTTTAGAAGCGGGAGGAGGGACCTAATCAGAACCCCCCTCCGTGAGGGCTGCCAGGCTTGTGTGTGTTGGGGGGAGACCCTGGCCCAGCAGCCCCTCAATGTGCAGGGAGGGGAGGGTGCAGGTGGGAATCTGGCTTTCTCTTGGGCGGGGCCCTACGCTGGGGAGGGCAGGCTGCCTGGGTTCAAGTCCCAGCTCTGCAACTTACCAGCTGTATGACTTTGGGCAAATCACTGAACCTCTCTTTGTGCCTTAGTTTTTAGGGTTGTTTGAGTAGTAGAAGGCAGGAGGATGGGAGATGCCAGCCTGCTTCTGGCTCTGGCCGTACCTGACTTCTGCAGGCTCTGAAGTTTCCAGCAGCTACATTGGCTCCAGGGCTCGTGGGCTTCGCAGCTGCTTCCAGATTTCTCAGTCATCCCCCTCTCCCATCTGGCCCTTCTACCCTTCAGATGCCTCTGGAATCAATTTCCCTTATGAACTCCCTCTAGCCAGAAAGAGCCCAGTGGTTTCTGTTTTCCAGCTGGTCACTAATTGATACAATATTCGAGCCACCCTGGCCAGCACCAGGGTATAATGGAAGGAACAGAAGGATTCAGCACTCAGAAAATGTGACGTCGTGTTTTTATTTTATTTTTTTACGTGCATGTCATGATTTTCTACGTGAGTTCCCTGAGGGTGGGGCCTGTCTCCCATCATCTATTCATTCAAGAGACATTTGTGAGTGCCTCGTCGGTTGGGGAATGAGATGCATGACCAAGTCCCCACACTCGTGGGATCGCAGTCTAGCCCTGCACCAGCGGGATGGTGGCCACCAGCAACCTTGGCTACGGAGCACTGCAGTGCAGTCAGTTCAAACTAGGGCAGGCTGTCAGCGTAGAATATAAACTGCGTTTCAAAGACCTAGTATGACAATATGAATGTAAGATAGCTCCCTAAAAATTTTTATATTGATTACATGTTGAAATAACAATGTTTGGGATATGTTGGGTTAAATAAAACACATCGTTAAAACTAATTCCACTTGTTCCTTTTGACTCTTTTTAACGTGGCCACTAAAAAATTTTAAATTACATAAATGGCTTGTATTCGTAGCTCATGTTCTATTTCTATTGGACAGCACTGTTCTTGGAGGGGCTGAGTTGAAACACATTGCTTTACCAATTCAGCATTTATTAGCATCTATTTAGGAGATATTTGATCCCTGTCCTTGAGCATTTCAGATAGGATGGGGAAGGGGGAAGATGTGCCAACATGGAAGTAAAATTCACTGTGACAAATGTTTGAGTTGGTCCATATTCCAGGACTCTGGAGGCCTGAGAAAAAAATCAGGGAAGGCTTTAAAGAAGAGGTGACTTCAGTGCTAAGCATTATAGGATGAGTAGGAGTTCGCCAAGCAGGTAAGGAAGAGGAGGAGCACTCCAGGCTCAGGGAGCCACACGTGCAAAAGCTAAGAGGTAGACAGCTGAGTGGGGTGTTTAGGGGATACAGAAGTTCCTTGTGGCCCAAACATGGATTGTTGGTGGAGGGAGCCGGACTGTGTAGCGCCTCGAATGCCAGGAAAGTTTAAACCTTGGAGGGGGCTGAGGCTCAAGAAAGGCTCTTCGGCAGGAGGTGGCTGGGCCAGGTGTGAGTGAAGTCACCCATCCATCCCCCTCAAAAGCTTGTAAAGGACCAGACCAGACTCTGTTGGAATGTGAAAAATAAACTCTTTTATTTCAGTGTTTGTGGTTCAGAAGCACATCTACTGCCCAGAAGGTTTTATAAAACCATAGAGAAATAGAGCTATATTTATATAGAAAATATACATGTCGGCTCATTTTGTGATTCTTCCTTGTGCAAAGCAGAAAGTTCTAAGCGCATCAGCGTGATTTTCCCCAAGTCCCTCTCTGGCATTCTGGGGGCCCTGGAGGCTGTGACCTCACCCCAATAGCGAATCCTCCCCTTCCAGCCTGAGGGAGGCCCAGCCATGTAGAAAGAGCAGGAGATAAAATCAGAGGTGACAATTCTTGGGCTCACTAAGTTTACCCAGGGGCAAGGGCTGTGTTTGGGTGCCTGGGCCCTGCAAGGAGGGGACCTTGTTGGTTAGTGACCATCACGGGCAGCTAAGGCTCCTGTGAAGCCCAGGCGTCGTGACAGGCAGGCCCACGGGTAGTACAGTGGCATTCAGGACTCTTCTCTCCTAGAACTGGGATCTGAAGGGAAGTACCGGGCACGGGTGGGGGACCAGGACAGGGCTGGGGTCTGGATGGGGTCACAGTCATGGTTTCACTCTCAGAAACATCCTGAGCCGGGGCTCTAAGGCTCTGCGGAGCAGGCAGTGGGCCTCGTGGTTACCTACAGGGCTGGGCCACATAGAAGCATCTGAAGTGCGGAGCTGAGGGGACCTCAGAGCCGAGCCGGTTCAATCACTCCTCTGACCAGTGAGGAGACTGAGGCCCAGAGAGGGAAAGCCGTGCCTGGCCAGACCTGGGGCTCGAACCCAGGGCTCTGACCCCCCGCCCCCCAATCCCCTCCCCACCTTCTTGCCTCAACTGGGCCTTTTCTGGTCAGATGCCAAACGGCCTCTGTGACGTTGTCAGGTCAGACTGAGACATGCCAGGGCACTGGACTCCGAGTCAGAGGCTCGGGCTCTGCTCCTGGGCCTTGCAAGTAACCACCAGCCCACACGCGGGGGTGGGCATCTCCTGTCCCCGAGCCTTGGTTTCCTCATCCAGAAAGCAGCTCCCACCCTGGAGATTCCCGTGGCGATTAAGTGGGTGGCAGCCCTGCGAGCGCCAGAGAGCGCAGGAGGCGCCTGGCACGTAGTAAGTGCCTCACAATGGTGAGATGGGTGGGGGACCGCTGGGCCAGGGCTGCTGGGGTGTGCCCACCTGGCTCTGGCTCTCCCAAGGGCCCCTGGGCCTGGGCGCAGTCAGGGGGAGGGGTACAGGACACAGTCTAGCCGAATTCCCCCATCCAGCCCACGGGCACACTGGCCCCTTTTTGCCTGCTCCAAAGGGCTATGGAGTGGATCAAACGGCGTCGTGGCGTCAACGGCTTCCAAACAGCACCGGGGCTGGGTAGGGGGCTGTGCGTCCCTCTTCACTCACCCCAGCCCCAGTCAGTCAAGGTCAGGGCTCCCAGTGTGGTGGCCCAGAACATTCCTCACAACAAAGGGGTTGGTGGGGAACCAGGCTCAGGGGCCAAGAAGGTCCAGAAGTACATTCCATGCCAAAGAGCCCCCACAGGCAGCCCGCCCTGCCCTGGGGTCCGGGGCCCAAGAAGGGACAAATTTTGCTCATTAGCTTGGGATAAAGATTGGGTCAAGTTGGGGGCTCCCAGCAGGCTGAGCTGAGGCTGGACACAGGGTCCCTTAGCGGGGGCCGATGATGATGTTCCGGTAGCCCTTCACGGACTTCAGCTTGTCGCACTCGAAGTTCACCACCAGCTTGCGGCGGCCCATCTGGAGCGGCAGCAGGTCTATTCTCACCTTGACTTCCTCCCCCGGCCCCACGGGTTCTGAGCTGCAGCGAGAGGAAGCATCCGGCCGGTGAAACGTGACTACTGAGGACTGATCAGGACCCAGTACAGAACCTCCATGAATTTAGAGCGAATGCTGACAGTGACCAAATGGACCCCACACACAGCCCTCTGAGGGGCCCGGACAATCTGCCCTCCTGGAGTGTAGAGTGTGTGTGTGCTCGTGCACGTGTGTGTGCATGTATATGTGTGCTTGCGCATACATGCCTGTGTGTGTGGAAGTAGACGGTGCACTTAGGGGTAACACTGGTATCAGGTGGGGCTCGGTGTCTCACACCTGTAATCCCAGCACTTTGGGAGGCCCAAGCAGTAGGATCACTTGAGGCCAGGAGTTTGAGACCAGCCTGGGCAACATAGCGAGACCCTGTTTCTACAAAAAATAAAAAAATTAGCTGGGCGTGGTGGCTCGCTCCTGTAGTCCCAGATACTTGGGAGGCTGAGGTGGGAGGGTCGCTTGAGCTCAGAAGTTTGAGGCTGCAGTGAGCTATGAATGCACCACTGCACTCCAGCCAGGCGACAGAATGAGACCTCGTCTCTTAAAAAAAAAGAGTGGGTATGCTTAGGTGGCCACGTGTGTGAGCACTCAGCTGCACATACGTGATCAGTGCTCTTTATTGTATATAAGTTACACTGCAGTAGAAAAGAGAAGTGTGTGCTTGTATGCATATGTATCTATGAGGACACGCTCATGCATGTGTGTGCATGCACACAAGTGTGGACATTTGGCGTGTGGATACCTGTGTCTGTGTGAGGACTCGAGAGTCCGGAGGCGGATTTAGCGACTGAATGTGTCACTGTTCCGGTCTGTGAAGATGTGTGCATGGGCCGCGGCTGACATGTGTGGGTGCTGAGAAAGGACGTGGGGAGACCCTGGCCTGAGGGTGCCTGGGAGTGAGCCCAGGTGTGGGTGTGTGGGGGAGATGAGAGAGGAGGGCTTCCAGGCCAGGGTTTGGCGCCCGAGGGCAGCCCTGCCCCCCTGGCATCGTCCCTCCCCCAGGCTGCGCTGGAGCGCCGGCACTCACAGCAGTATGATCTTCTGCGTCTGGAGCAGGCCGGCCCCCTCCACGGTGAAGGCGCAGTCCAGCAGGGGCTCCGTGAGCGGGTTCCGCAGGGACACCTCAGCCACCAGCCTGCGGTTCTGCTTGGGCTCTCCCAGGACCTGGAAGGGCACAGGGCAGATGTCAGCAGCAGGCGGCGTCATCTCTGTGTTTGCCCAGAGTTTGCCGGACACAGCCATGCCCAGCTCCGCCTCTAGCACAGGTGGGGATGCCGGGATTCATTCCTAGAGGCCACGGTCCCCAATCCTTTCGGCTTCCTGACGCATTTCTCTGATGAGGGTTTGAGGAGCCCCGCGGCACCTAAGGCCTTGTGCTTGCAGGGATGCAGGTAGGTGCAGGGGTCGGGGCGCCCTCTCCCCAGCACTGGGCCGTCCTGGGACCCTGCCCTGTGCACACCTTGCCCAGCCCACCCCTTACCCGGATCTTGATTTCTGGGTTCTCCAGGTAGAGGTCCCTCTCGGCCAGCAGGTAGCTGTTGCTCTGTGGGTCCACGAGGAGGCCCCGCACCTTGATGAGGTTCGACCCCATCAGCCAGTCAGCGTAATTCTTGTAGAGGATGCGGAAGGGAATGTCCTCCTCTGTAGATGGGGCAGAGGGGAGAGCGCTCGTGATGGCTGGATCGTCGCTCACACAGAGTGGGAAAGGATGTGCTTGAGGTCAGACAGCGGCGGAATGGCCGGGCAGACGCCAGGCCTCGCCCACCCACCCCGGCTGCAGAGTTCCCAGGGAGGAGCTGGGAGTGGAGGAAGGACAGCTGGCGGGGGGAGTCGTCTGGGTGCTAATGCTGCCTCTGCCCTCCTAACTGGTGACCCTGGGCAAGCCACTCCACCTCCCGGGACCCCAAAGTTCACATCTGTGTAGCGAAGGCACCCATCAGGCAGTGAGAGCATTCACTGAGCAAGTGTCAGGGAAGTGTCATCGCCCAACGTACAGATGAGAAAAGTGAGGCTCGGGCAGGTGAAATAACATCACCCAGGTCACAGAGGTGGTGTGTGCCGTGCAGGTATGTGAACTGTCAACCCGGATCTAGAGTCCATTGGCATGACCTGCACTCGCTGCCGAGCACCTCTCGGGGGCTTGAGCCCTTTACTCCCCACAAGGCTGTTGGTCTCATGCTCCCCACCATGAGGATGGAGCAACATCTCTGCTGGTGAGTGCGTGGATCGGGAGACCTGGCCTCTGGCCCTGTTTGGCCACTGGCTGGCTGCGTGAGCCTGGAAAGATGACCTCCCCTCTCTCTTCCCTAAGACTTCTGGCACCTGCTGGGCACAGCTAAGACCAGAGGTCATTGCAGAGCAAAGCCACACGGTGACAAGGGGGTGAGAAAGAAGCCGGCAGGGCCAAACCCTCCCAGGGCAGAGCAGTGAAGTGGGGTTTTTAGCCCCATGTTTCTGACAAGCCTCCTGAGGCCCGAGGGCATCAGGGGTCTGTCTGTGGGAGGCAGGAGGAGCAGCAAACGGAAAGTGGGCTTGTGCAGGGCCTGCTGTCACCTTCTCACTGTGTGAGTCAAGGTTGGGGCCCTGACTGTGCACTCTCGGGGTCCGCGCCCCCCTCTTTGGCAAACGCTGCAGTGGCCCACCCAGCCTTTTAGCCTTTCGTTCCCAGGGCGGACCTGCTCCAACCTCTAATCAGACGGCGTGAACTAGGGAAGAAAACTAAACCTTCGTGCCAAAAAGGACAGAAGGGAGTGAAAATTACTAGGTCGGGACCTGGAGGCGCGGAGTGGAAACTCTGACCAGCTCCCCGGGAAGGAAGGAAAACACTGTGTCCTCTAGGAGCCCAGAGCGTGTGGCTCCAGCTGAGGACTTCTCCAGGAGGCGGAGGCCAGGCCAGGGCTGGACCACTGAGGGCCACTGCTCACAGGCCAGTGACCATGGCCTTGGCCTTGGGCCAGATGCTGGCTGGGAGGAAGAAACACGTGTGGTCAGTCTCGATCATTCCCTAGACAATTTGTTCTGTTCTAGAAAGTGCCCTAGGGATGGTCACTGAGGCCACATGGGCTGCACTCCCAGTGACCCACCTGGAGGGCGAGGGAGGACAGAGGGCTAAAGGGCGGAGGCAGGAAGGGGAAGAGAGAGACGGCAGAGCGAGAGGCCGGTGGGGGCTGCTGGATCCCGCTGGGCCGTGCTGGGCCTGGCTTCCTGTCCACCAGTACATGGAAATCCCCCGGATGCTATCAGCAAAGAACAACACGCAGCTCAACCAAAGTGTGGGGCTTCGAGGGCGAGAGAACCGGCCTCAGTTGAGCTTGGCATTGGAGGTCCCAACAGGACATCGGGGACCAGCTCCACCTTCCAGCCAGAGGGTAACGCACAGGACCTCTGCTTTCCCCTCCTGCTCCCTGAAGGCCACACCCTACATAGGTCCCCGGCAAGGGGGACCCCTCTGTTGGGAGCACATCCCCAGGGTGACGAGAAAAGCCAGCAGGCTTGCCCAAAGCCGCTGCAGAACAATGCTCCAAGCGCCCGAGGTATCTGGGAGGCAAGGGCTGAGTCCACAGAGGCCTGGGGGACGTTACTTCGGCATGTCTGGCCCAGCCAGGAGTTCCCCTCGTGCCACACATTCCAAGAGAGGCGCTCTCTCCCCTCGGAGAGGTTCTGAGCACGAGCAGGAGCTGGCTGGCGTGCACTCACACAAAGGCGCTGCAGGGCCCTTGAAAGAGGAGCCTGGCTTTGTACGAATGGGAGTTTGCAGCCTGGAACGGAGAAGAGAAACACCCAGAAATACCCACAGCCAGCCGACAGGTGGTAGGAGCTAGAACCGGGGTGTCCTGACCACCCACACACCTGTAGGGTTGGGCCCCTGCCCCTGACTCTGGGGGCCTGGCTGGGAGGCAAGAGCCGGGTCCTTTCCACACGTCAAGGGGGCAGGGACCACTGAGCCCAGAGCCGACGCCATTGCCTGGCCAGCGTTCGGGAAAGGGCCACAGGCTTCTCGGCCTCCCCATGCCTTTGCACTTCTGCTCTGAGAGGAGTGAGGGCTGCACCCTCTCTCTGCACCGTTCCGCACTTTGCTGAGCACACATCTGCTCCCTCAGTCCTCACGGCGGGGCACGTCATCGCCCCATTTAGCAGATGAGTGTAATTCGAGGCTCAGCACGCTCACCTTGCCCCATGGCTGTGCACGGAAGGGGGCAGCGGCAAGGTTCACAGCCTGCCTCCAGAACATGCCTTTCAGCAGCGTAAGTGCTGGGGCCCTGCCCTGATGCCCAGAGGCTCTGCCCCCGAGGGCCTGGCCCCTGCTGGGGGGCTCTGCCTGGGTGCTGCTGGTGGGTCTGCCCTGGGGTTGTGGCTCCAGGAGTGCCCGCCGTGAGCCCGAGATGGGAACACCAGGAGGCGGTAACTGTCAGCACCCCAAACGCCCAACCCGAAACGGACCTGCTTTCTTAGGAACTTGAAGGCCGTGCCCACACGCCGGCCCCCAACACGGGCAATAGAGGAGAGAAACGACCACGGTTTAACAGGCAGGAGAGCGGAGAGGGGAGGGCGACAGAGCCCGTAAGCACAGAAAGTCCCCACCCTGGGGCTCTGCCCCATCCATCCCTGGGTGCGACGACACCGACCCCCAGGTACTGAGTGCTACTGTGTGCACAGCCCCTCACCCCCGCACAGTCCACACTGTCAGATCATGACGGCCACGTGCCTGACAGGGACACTCTGCCCAGGAGACACAGCAACACTGCCCAGGGACAATGTCCCACTTGATCCCGCCGCCACTCAGGATGGCCAGTATCTGGCTCTACAGCTCCCAGCCCCTCCCCCAGCCCCAGGACCCCCTGCCCTGCTCCTGCCTCACTCGTAACCTCTGACCTCAGTGGCCACGGCCCCTCCCAGGGCCTCAGGTGTATTTTTAGGAAGAAAACCAGGCACGGTGACAAAGCCAGGCAGCAGAAGGGACAGAGGGGATGATGACTGTGCAGGTATTAAGCTAGAGGCTTGAGCAACAAAGGCTCTGTCCGCCCAGGGCTGGGGCCACAGCCGCTGCTGTTTCCCAGGGAGACGCTCAAGGCCAAGGCCGGGAGGAAAGCACTTCTCCCCACTCCTGTCTCAAGGCCTGGACCCTCTTCCCCGCTGTCGCCCTCTGAGCTGCCCTGTCCAATACGGCACATGCGGCTATCTAACTTTAAGTTGAATAAATTAAAACTTCAGTTTTGCAGTTGCACCAGCCACATTTCAAGAGCTCAGTGGCCACGCGGAGTTGGTGGCCACCGTACTGCATGGTGCAGACACGGAACACCCCCGTCACTGCAGGTAGCTCTATAATCAGCGCTGCTCTGGAGCCTCTTCTCTGAGGCCGAGAGCATCCAGACGCACAGGAGAGGCTCTCCAAGGGGCAGTGGGGAGAGGCTCCGAGGTGTGAGAGGGGCTGGAGGCAGAGGAATTAGCTGGGGGCAGGGAGCAGAGGGTCAGGAAAAGCAGCCAGAGGTCACAGGAAGATGAGATGAAACAAAATGGTATAGCTGCTGCGAGGACAGTTTCCAATCTCAGTCCTGTCACTTCCCAACTGTGTGACCTTGGGAAAGTTACTTAACCTCTCTGTGCCTCCATCTCTTCATCTGGAAAACAGGGGCAATGGTAGACTCTACCTCCCAGTTTTGTTATAAGAATTAAATGGGTTGATATTTATAAAGTGCTTAGGACAGGGCCTGACACAGAGTAAGTGCCGTGGAAGTGTCTGGGAGATAAAAGGACAAGTGCCAAGCGCTCAGTGGACTACTAAGCACATTGTCAACAAATGCTCCGGGAACACAGAGCCTTACCAGAGAAGGGGTCCAGGGTGAGATTGAGTAGGTCTTTGGTGGCACACTCGGGTCCCATGATCCCGTTGTAGCTGACAGTGCGGGCACGGAGCCGGAGGCGGCAGGTGTGGCCCTTGGAAGTGTTGTTGGTGACACGGGCAAAGACGTCAAAGTCGCTGCCCATGTTCGTCCTCTGGGTCACGCGGATCCGCATGGCCATCCCTGTCTCCTCCTTCTCCTTCTCCTCCAGTTTGTTCATGTGGTTGGCCCTTGTCAAGACTCTCCTCTCTTCTGGGGACCCTGCAGAGATAGCAAAGGAAGCCTCAATCGCAGCTGGAATCAGGGTCATTGGGAAGGGGGCTGGGATGGGGAAAGCTGGCTTCTCAGAATCCTGGTTGGTGACTCAGAGCAGCCCTGGAGGATCCCCTTCTCTACATTTTTGTGCCAGGAGGAGGAAATAGTATTGTATTTTCCACATGTGAACTCCTATACATCTCTCAAGACCCAGCCCCAAATGTCTCCTCCTCCAAAAAGCCTTCTCAAATCACTCCTTCCCCAGACTGTTTTCTGTTTATGTTCTTACTTGCTTACTTACTTTTTGTTGCTTGAAATCTAAGACTGTGTTTTACTTATCTTTATGTCATACCCAATACCTATAACAACACTTGGTGCATACCAGGCACCAATACGATGCAAACTTTCTCACCTCCAAGCATTTGCACAGGGACGTCTTCTACCTGAAATCCTTTCTGTCCCCTTCTCTGACTGCTCCCTTCTTTATATTCCATACGCCTCTCTCCTATGCTCCTTGTATTTGACCCCCAGTGTTGTTAAGTACATATCTACTTCTATCAAATCATTAGCTCTAGACCTTTCAAAGGCCAGAGAGAGCATCTTTTCTTTCTGTTTCATCCCTTCCAGCCAGAGCATCGTCATGGAATAGCCAACCCTCAGTTAGCCCTGCACAGTCAGTGGGAGTCAGGCCAGGGCCGGACTATGATTTCCTAGTCCCCTCTGTGAGTCCTGCTGTGCTTGGCACACAGTAGATACTTGGAAATACCTATTGTATTGAGTTTGCTGTTGGATGTGCTCAGATCCATTTTTTAAAGAATAAACCAAATCCTTTTCCCCCCTTACTGATTTAATATTAGTAACAGAAAGATGCCTCATCCTTATGTCTGATTGAATTCATCACATTATCTTCAAGTTTCTCTTGGTCCATTTCTCTCTGTTTTTTGTTTGTTTGGGGGAGTTTTTTTTAGAGACAGTGTCTCACTCTGTCACCTGGCTGGAGTGCAGTGGCACGATCATAGCTCACTGCAGCCTTGAACTCCTAGGCTCAGGTGATCCTCCTGCCTCAGCCTCCCGAGTAGCTGGGACTACAGGTGCATGCTATCATGTCCAGCTAATTGTTTTACTTTTTATTTTTAGAGACGGGGGTGGGGAGGGCAGGTTTGCTATTGCCCAGGCTGGTCTCGAACTCTTGGCCTCAAGCGATCCTCCCACCTCGGCCTCCCAAAGTGCTGGGATTACAGGCGTGAGCCGCCGTGCCTGGCTGACATTTCTCTTTAATTCAACCCTCCTTCATCCCCCTTCATGCTCCTTTCCCCAGCTGTATGTCAAATACTATGAAAATAAACACTGCAAAGTCCCAGGAAACTCTCCTCCACGGACTCTCCGGACTCTCAAGCCCCCCTAGCGCAAACACATTACAATAAAAAAAAGTGTGGAATCGCCTGTGTATAGTCGTAGGTCCCGCTGCTGACACATACTGTTAATAAACAACGTAATAACACAGACATCAATTTTTCTGCTACGATGCGTGCCTCTCCTATATAATAGCTGTCCCCTACAGTTTTATTAAGAGTCAACTCAACCCAAAAAGCAAGGCTTAAAAACTGAATTGAATCCTATTGTGGCATATAGAGTGCTTTTCCTAAACCAATGCTCCTCTACCCCTGCACTTGCTGCTAAGGAATTGCTTACCCTGCTGTTTGCAGGCTGCCGAATAAAGCACACACACACACGCGCACAAGCCTCTGGGCTGCTCACGCGGGGTGCTCATCTCCAAGGCCATGTTCAGGGCTCCGAGAGACAGGACACCTACCCTCTGGGTATTTGTAGTTAAGGGTGATGTCCTCCCGCTCGTCGCTGCCCAGACTCTTGGTACTGATATTCTGCCCCACGATCGTGGAACGGTTGATGGATTTGTGCATGGTCCCGTCTTCCTGAAGGATCCAGTCCACCACTTCCGCGTTGACCTCAGCGAAGACAAAAGGTGCGTCGTACTTGGTCTTCAGGTCGCCCTCCTTGATGGCGCGAACCGAAACCGGGCCACAGCAGTATGTCCCTGGTCAGGGGTAAGAAGAGGGAGAGATGGGTCTGGACCGAGGGGAGGGTGCCAGCCTCCAAAACCCTCCACGGTTTAACCACATGTAACGAAAACCTCGAGACCATGCAGCCCTTTGACTCAGGGCCTCCACGTCTAAGAGGCCACCATAGGGTGAACAGGACTCTGAAGTGCAGCTTTTAGGGTTCAAATCCCAGCCCAGCTTCTTGTTAGCTGGGTGACTTTGGGCCAGTCATTAACTTCTCCAAGCTGCAGATTCGCATGGGGATTATATTTGAACCTACCTAATGAGGATTCACGAGTTACAGGTGTGAAGCTCTTAGCATATACCAAAGGCAAGTATTTGATAAAGTAGAAATGTATCCCAAGGCATCCTAAGGGAATGATGGAGTCAGAGAGCAGACCACATGTTAGGAGGGAGAGCGTCTGTCTTGTTTACGGCTCGTACTGAGGGTGGAAGTCGGTGCCCGGCATGGCGTCAGCCCCAGGGAGCGTGTGTCCTCTCAGTGAACGCACCCCCCACTGCGCACAGACCTAAATGCTGAGGACTAGAGGCTGGTAGATGTAGTCTAGCACAGCCACGTGATGGAACATGGTAACACTAGCTTAAAGTTCAAATCACAGGAAACCATCTGATGAAGAAACGCTGATGATATACCGAGAAGTAGATAGAGCCGGAGTTCTTAAATTCGGGTCCCTGGACCCCCAAGGTGCTACCAACAGAATTCAGGGGTCCATGAACTCAGACAGGAAAAAGGGACATTTCATTTTCACTCTACTTTGGTAACACCTCCTTGGATTGCGAAAGCAGGCAGCAAACCACAGTAGCCTTAGGGGCACTTACGACTTGTCACCCATAAGAACCACAGATGTGTTCGTGTCACCTTACGGTTGTCACAGGCAGCGGGAAATGTAACTTATGCTCTTCTCCAGCACTACATTACGGAACTTACCCTACCACTAGACTGTGTTATATGAAAAAGCAGGTATTATTACATCATAAATTTATTTTTTAAAACTTGTAAAAACTGTATTTCAATTAATTGATTTTCTTTGTACCCTTGTGCATTATATTCTATGCATTTAAAAATATTCTGAGAAAGGGGCCAAATGCTTTATCGAATTTTGCCTTGCCACAATCATACACTCACACCCCCCCTCCCCCTTAAAATTTTTTATTTTGAGTTTGTTGGAGGTTTTTTTTGATTTTTATTGTTGTTTTTTTTGGGGGGGGGGGCCAAGGTTGTTTTTTCTTTTTCTTTTTTTTGTTTTTCTTTGTTTTTTTTTTTCCCCGTTGCTTTTGATTTCTTTTTCAATTTTTTAAAAAAAAGTGTCTTATGAAAATATAAGTGAGGTCTCTCCACCCCTGTGTAGACCCACCAGTGGTCTTGGGGTTAGGCTCCTAGCTCTGCCACTCTCCAGCCGAGTCACTAACTCTCCAGGCCTCAGTTTCCCCATCTGGGTGATGGGTGCGCTTGCCCACCTTCGCTCTTCTCCTGGGGCGTTGGGTCCAGGGCCTGCCAGCCCTCATAGCCCGGCTCCAGGTCCGGTCTGGTCATCCACGACTCCACCCAGCAGTGGTAGTTCCTGGCGGGGAAATGAGGCAGGACGTGGGCGACATTCATCATCGCCTCCCGCGGGCAGACTGCCCCGTGCATGCCCCAGATGCACACTCCTCTCGTCCCAAACGGAGCACAGTTTGGCCCCCACCTGCTTCGCTCTGCTCTTCCGCCGGTGGGCCCATCTGAGCAGCACCCTCCCTCGCCGGGCGCTCACTCCTACACCTCAGAGCCCTGCACAGGCTCTGCCCTGGGTCAGGCCTCCTTGCCACCCACCTGGACCACATCCCAGGCCCCGCCTCCTCTCTCTCCCTCCAGCTGTCCTGGTCCACAGTCACCGGCACAGCCCTTTCCGGTTGTGAAGCTTTGAATGACAGCCCACTGCCTTTGGAATCAAGCCCGGTCTCCCGGATCTGGCGTCCTGGACTCCCGACAACCTTTGCAGCATGATTCTACCCGGCGCTTCATGTATGTGGTTGTATATGGCTGGCTTTCCCTCCTCTAGGCCTCTGCTCATGCTGTCCCTCCCCAAGCTTGTCCAAATACTGCTCAACTCTTAATGCCCAATTCACATGTGACCTCCTCCGAGAAGCCTTCCCAGGTTTCCTCTTCATGGGCCCCTCCCCACTGAGCCCTGACTTCACCCCGGGCACCGCCTTACCAGATCATCTCGTTCCCGTTACCCTGGATCTCCCCGAACTCATTGCGGTAGTACTCGATGAGAAGGTTGCTGTTCTGGTCGTGGGCTGAGTTATAGTTGGTCACGACTCGGGTGGGGACACCGAGGCACCGCAGCACTGTGGGGGGTGTGGAGGGAGGGGTTGGGGACGAGCTAAGGCCCTGGAGCTCTGGGCCTCCACATGCCCATCTGTACCCTAGGGGGCACTGTACCCACTGTCCAGGTGGTGAGGGCGGGCTGGCCCCTCTTGCCTGGACAATGGTGCCCACCTCGCGGGTCACCCCATGTCCACTCTGTCCCTCTCACATCACAGCTGCCAGAAGGAGGCTGTAACGTGCAAATCCGACATCAACACTCCTCTGACAAACCTTCCAAGGCTCCCCACAGCCCCCGAGGTCAAGGCCAGAACCCCGGCTGTGGCCCTTGGCCCTGCAGGGCCTGGCGCCTGACCGCCTCCTTGCTCACTCTGCTCCAGCCGCACTGGCCTTCACACTCCATGCTCCCGCCAGCCTCAGGGCACTGGCATATGCTGTTCCCTCTGCCTGCAAGGCCTCCCTGCCAGGTTCCGGTTGTCCCACGTGCACTCATAGCCCCACTGGGATCAGTCATGGCTGCTAATGTCCGGGCATGTGAGGGGTTCTTCAGTGCGTCCCCTGGAGACGGCAAGGGGTCTGTCTCACGTTTATCCCCAGAGCCCAGCACAGGCCTGGTATTGAGCATTTTGTCAAATGAGATGAAGGGGCAGGTGAAGGAGAGAGGGCGGGAAGGAAGGAGAGTTAATGAATGATCGCATCTCCCCAAGGCGGATTCAGAGTGAGAGGCTAAGAGCAGAGCAGGCGGGAGAGGGGACAGAGGGCAGAGATCCAGCTACGTCCACTGTGTGACCTAAGGCCAGTCCCTTCACCTCTCTGGGCTTTGGTTCCATCTCGTGTGCGTTCATAGCATGGCTGGGGATTCCTCGTCACTCTGCACAGGAATATAAATGTATGTGCCCCTGTACGAGGGTCGTGTCCATCTACAGGTCCTCAGCCCTGTCGGGAGGCCCTGCGTTCATGCCAAAGCTCTGCTTGCGGAGAAGGGGCTAAAAAGAGACAGCGTATTAACCGGCCTTGACACCCTGAGCTCAGCTCTGCAAGGATGAGGGCGCTCGCAGGGCAGGGAGGAAAGCCCGGCACGGATCCTGCCCGGGTGGCACACTGGGAATTCCTGCACCTAGAATTATGGGAGCTTTTACACCTTCATTGTTTTTTTTTGAGACCAAGTCTCCCTCTGTTGCCCAGGCCAGAGTGCCGTGGTGTCAGCTTAGCTCACAGCAACCTCAAACTCCTGGGCTCAAGCGATCCTCCTGCCTCAGCCTCTCAAGTAGCTGGGACTACAGGCATGTGCCACCATGCC